AAAACAAAACAGGTTTTAGATAAAAATCATGTTGAACCTCATTACCTCATCATTAGCGTTCAGTGTCATCAGTGTAATCAATCATAATCATTAATGGTGGAACAAACAACACATAACTTGAATTTATTTATGTGTGGTATCTTTAGGATTAGGATTCAACTTTATTGTCATTACACATGTATAAATACAGTGTAACGAAATACAGTTTGCATCTAATTAGAAGTGCAATAAGAGCAATTATACAGTTACGTTAAGCAAATATACAGATGTACTACGGGCAAATGTATGGATATACTATATATACAGATAAGAGTAGTATAAATGGGGCAATAGTTATGAACAGTTTATGTACAGAGAGACCAAATATACAAATGAACTACAGACAAATGTACAGATGATCTGTATAGCATACAGATGTTCTATATTGCTATACAGATGGGCAGATATAGAGATGTACTATGAACAAATATACAGATTTGCTGGTGTGTGGTAACAGATCTACAGAGTCCTATGAGTATATCTACAGCAGTGGAAGCGTAGCGCTCTGAGCAGACTATAACAGTGAACAGTGTGCGCACTATACCAGAGACTATACTATGTCAGTGTCCTACACTATAGCAGTAAACAAGTAACCATTTATTGTAAAATAATTTTTATAAAAGAACGAACTGAATAATTTATGTATAGAAACAGAAGGCGTTCATTAAAACCTAAAAATTTGAAAAATGAACTATAGAAAAATAAAAATACATCTCAGGGTTAAGAAATTGTTGTCTTTTCCATTAGTTTCTTCTTTAGTTGCTTTTTACTTGATATGACACTTTAAACTGTATAGTAGACTGTATATATTAAGTAAGTAAGTAAGTAAGTAAGTAAAATTTTATTTATATAGCAACTTTCAAGATATAAAATCACAAAGTGCTTCACAAGACCCAACAATGAAAAAAAAACAAGCAAAATTAATAGAAAGCAGATTTAAAACATTTGTTTTAAACTCATCTTTTAAAGAGATCACAGAGTCTCAAATCGAAAGGAAGAGAGAAAAGTTCCAGAGTCTGGAGGCCACTGAACAGAAGGCTCTGTCTCCATTTGTTTTCAGCTGAGTACGGGGCCCCATACACACTCATTCACTCACTCAGGTCGTGTGCATGCAAATAAGAAAACGTTTGAATAGGCGCAGGTCACCACACTGTCACCTGAGTTTAGGTTTATGTAAAATCAGCATGTATTTTATTAGTTCATTTTCTTATTCAGCAGATATGATTTGCATAATACAATAAGCAGCCAGACAGAAAAAAATGTTGTTTATATATATTTATGCATGTGTGTTTCAAAAGTCTGAATGCTTTCTGCATTCAGTGTCAACCAGGTGCAACTATGTGTCAGTGGTCAGTACTAGTTCGCTGGGCATACAGTTAAAATGGTTTGCATATTCTTTAAGATTGTATGTAAAACATTATGTTACAATGCTTACACATGACACTGTCATAAATTTATAGACACTATAGGATAAAAAATTTGGATAATCAAGTGCCCAAGTGTCCCTGTTAAACAGCAGCCTGTGTTTGGTATCTATCTGCATTAGTACCAGCCACCA